GGTGTCAAAAAGATTTATGCTTATTTTGTGGAGAAGCTAAATACATTGCTCAATATTATTCAAAGAAAAAATATAATTACATAATGAAGAGTATGATTGCCAAAGAAAAGAATGTATCAAAAAATGAGCTTTTCTAGCTATAATAGGAACTATATAGTTAGAATCTTGTGTAACTCTTAATAAAGATCCTATTCTTTTCTCAAATCTATCACCTTTTTTTATAATAGAATTTTATTTAGGACCAAAAAATCACATAGTCCTAGCTTTGTTAGATTTAGGAGCCTCAATTTGTTTTATAGATAAAGAATTTGTCAAAAAATAAAAGATATTATTAATCAAAAAAACTAGATCTCTACATATAGAAGTCATAGATGGTCATTTGTTGTCTTCTAGAGATATTATTTATAAAAAATTTCTTTTAGATGTAGCAATTAAAGATCATAATAATATAATAATATTTAATATAATAAGATTTTTGTCTGATTTGGTTATTTTTGGATTATCTTGGTTTGAAAAATATAATCTTTATATAAATTGGATTTCTTGTAACCTTGATTTTTTTTGTAGTTTGAACCAAAAATTTTTTAGTGAAGTAAAAATATATATGCCTAGTATATTCAAATTCTTATTAATAGGAACAAGAGCTTTTATGCATGCTACAAAAGGAAGATTATCTTTTGCTATATATACTATGTTTATTTTTTATAGTGAAAACATGTCAAGTGATATTCCTAATCAATATAAAGGTTTTCAAGATTTTTTTGAAAAAAAAAAATATGGATATTCTTCTAAAGCATTGACCTTATGATTATTCAATTGATTTGTAAGAAAGAGCTTAATCACCATTTAGATCCATCTACTGCCTATTTCAGAATGAATTGGCTGCATTAAAAAAATACATTGATGAAAACTTATCTAAAAACTTCATATGCCATTCAAAATCTTTAGGAATAGTTCTTATTTTATTTGTGAAGAAAAATAATTAATCTCTATAGATATGCATGGACTAACAAAGACTTAACAAAATTGCCATCAAGAATAAATATCTTTTATTTTTGATTAATTGATCAAGTAAAGATCTATATAAAAATAGATCTATAAGGAGCTTATAATCTGATATACATTAAAAAAAGAGATGTTTGAAAAATTATGTTTTGAATCAAGTATGGACATTTTGAATATAATGTCATGCATTTTAGACTCACAAATGCACAGTTGCTTTTTAAACATCTAATGAATGATTTTTTTGTGAATTTTTTGATAATTTTTTGATCTATTATTTGAATGACATCTTAATCTATTCTAAAAATATAGAAGAATATGAAGTTTATGTTTTTCATGTATTATAAAAATTTAAAGATGCAAGATTATATGCCAAATTAGAATAGTGTGAATTCTACACTACTCAAGTTGACTTCCTAGGATACATCATTTCCAACAAAAGACTAATAATAGATCCAAAGAAAGTTCAAACTCATAAATTGAAAGACTCTAAGAATAGTAAAAGATATGCAATGCTTTTTGGGCCTTGCCAATTACTATCGGATCTTCATTAAGAATTTTTCTTAAATTGTAGCTCTACCTATATGTTTGACTTGCAAAGACAAATTTGAATGGAGTAAAAAAATCAAAGCATCATTTAATGCTTTAAAGAAGGAATTTACTTTTGTATCAATCTTATATCATGTTGACTTTTCTAAGACATTTTTCATTAGAACAAATATATCAAACTTTACTTTAGGTGCACTATTATCAGAAATAGAAGTAGATAAAAACTCTATCCAATAGCTTTTTATTCCAAAAAAATTTTAGCAGCTGAGAATAATTATGAGATTTACAACAAAGAGCTCTTTATAATTGAGGATTCATTTCAAGAATGACATCATTATCTAGAAGATGCCTTGAGTCCAATCATCATATATACAGATCAAAAAAACCTCAAGTACTTCGTATTGGCACATATTTAGAATTGTTGCCAAGCTTGTTGGAGTATGTTTTTATCAAGATTTGATTTCAAGATCACTTATTGACTTGAAAAACAACAAGATTTGACAAACATCCTTTTGAAATATTCTTATTTTATATCAAAAGAAGAAAATGTAGCTTTTGATCAACAAAGAATGATTTTCTTGAAAGCAGAGCATTTTTATCTTCAAGCAATTAAATTGAACATTGACTATTGATTCAACCTTTGTTAAGCAAATTCAATCAAATATTTCCTTTGATCTTCTTGTTTCTGATATCAAAAATAATTCTTTCAAGTTTTGTGATACTTTCAAGTTTAAATTTTAAAATAATTTATTTTATTTTGAGGAACAATTATATATTCTAGAAGACAAAGCACAATTACATATTCTTCAAGCTCATCATAACTTTTCAACAATGGGACGTTTTAGATATAATAAGACTTTGAAGCTAATATTAAGAAATTTTTGGTAGCATTAAATATAAAAGATAATTAAAGACTTTGTATAATCATGTGATATTTGTTCAAGATCCAAAATTCCTTATTATTGATCTTATGGACTTTTCTAACCATTATCTATTTTAGAATAAGTATGATCTTTTGTTTATATGGATTTTATCACAGATCTTTCAATTTCAAGTTTGTATGATTTTTTATTTGTGATAGTAAATCGATTTATCAAAATAATACATTTTATACCATGTATAAAATCTATCACAAATTAAAAAATAGGTAATTTTTTTTTGACAACATCTATTACTATCATAGATTATATAAAGATATTATATCAAATAGGGAGATTCAATTTGTATCAAGATTTTGAAGAATCCTTTTTAAGATTTTAAAGTTGAATATAAAGCTTTCTTTGACTTTTCATCCTCAAACTCATGGTCTATTAGAATGGATGAATAAGTATTGAAATAATATTTGAGATGTATCATCAATTATCAACAAGATAATTAGACAACTCTTTTGCCATTGATAAAGTTTTTATACAATAATTTGATACATTCTTTTCTTCAATAAATACCTTTCTTTCTTAATTATGATTTTTATCCATGATTTGATATTTTTGATTTTTCAAAAGTTGATAATCTTGTGGTAGAAGATTTGATAAATTATTTGTTAGAATTACATGCAACAATGAAGGCTCAATTAAAGGAAGCTCAAGAATGACAAAATATCAATGTACATGCCTATTGCAAGGATCAACCACAATTCAACATATGATTACTTCCTTATAATATCAAGACCTTTTGTCCTTGTAACAAATTAGACTATTATAGGCTTGGACCTTTTCATATTTGTGAATAAGTCAATCCAATTTCTTATCAATTATATCTACTAAAGTATATGAAGATCTATCTTGTATTTCATGTATCTCTTCTTGAAACATATAAGATAATAAATATCTTGGAAAGAAGACAAATACCACCACTTCTTATAGAGGTAGATAATAACCAAGAGTTTGAGGTAGAAGAAGTCTTAGATTTAAGGGACAGTTGAAATAGGTTGAAATATCTTGTTCATTAGCGTGGATATGATATTAGTGAATATACATAAAAGCTAGTAAACAATCTTGTAAATACAATAAAGAAAGTTGAGGCTTTTTATTAATAACATCCATAAAAATGAAGATAAAGAATAGCAAATCTTTACTAAAAAAGAAATGAGAGCCAAAAAAGATAACATTTTACTTTCTATCATTCTTTATAGCTTTTGTATATTTGTAATATTAAAGAGATTGAGAATCAACAATCAGCACATTCAACTCAAGAGCTATCACTTGTTTACTTATTAGACAAGATATTACAATTGTCACAACCTTCAAGACAACGTAATTAAGATGAAAATCTTTAAGAACAACTTATCTTTTCTCAAATAGATGGTAAAATACAACGTGTTTGGTATCATAATCTTGGAAGAGACTCTCAATGTTTTGTGATTTTAACAAAGATAGGAACGACTCCTAATAGTGTTCCAAATATTTTATTTGAAGAGAGTTACAAAGGCTTCAACAATGATCAAAAAATAGGGTGGTCTTTCCATTCTAGTATAAGACACTATTAATGGCTGAAAAGACATATCAACCATCTTCAAAGAAAACAAAGTTCAAAGTATGTAGTAAACACAATTTGTAGCATCTTAGATTTTCTCAACATATGATGACTGCTTCTTGAGGAACTTGTCTCTAGAAAGGGGAGTAATATCACAGATATATATATTTATTTTAATATTTATCTATATAATTAAGTAGAAGTAGGTAAAAATATATTTATTTTATAATATTTTTTAGAAAAACTTCTTAGAAGCTTCATAGACACTGCCTCGACTTTATATGTCTTAATAATTGATGGTAGGTTAAAAACTCGATCAATAAGTTAATCACATGCTAGTAGCTTGCAAAATAAGATAATTATGTGATGCACATACAAAAAACTTATCTTGTAAATCAAGAATTGATACCCAAAGAGGATTGGTTGTGAACCAAGGTCAAAATTAGACCAATTAGATTGAAGGTTGTCAAAGTTTTTATAGATTATAATCTAGGATAATTGAAATTTAGGATTAGTGAGGATTTTTGCAATCTTGCAGCTTTTGTCAGTTCGATTGAAGCAAAAAATGGTGAATTATCTCAATTAAAATTAATAATTTAATTAATATTTATTAAAATTTCAAAATATCTATTGTAGTTGAGCAATTAAATAATAACAATTTTAATCAAATCAACTAAAAAAAAATCAATTAAATTATAACAATTATAATAAATCTTTAATTAATTTCTAAAAGAAATTTCATATAATTTAGTACAAAAATTAACAACTAAATGTTTTATTACTATTTTTTTTCAGTATGTATCTATTGCAATAGCCAAGATATATCGTGTAAGGTGGGAACAATAAATGAGGATGACTATGTCTGGCAAAGACCTGGTATCGACTGCCGTTCACCAGCCATGCTCTCCTACACCTTGGGGAGATAATGGAAACACTACAGTGATTCTTCTAATCGGCATTTCATGGCTACAACAGAATCGAATGCAGTAGTGAGTTACATTTTTAATTTCTTACATCAACAATCATAAGATGGAACAGATTTGTTGTTCAAGTCAGGTAGGCTATTGCATTAAGCAGTGCTAGCGAAAACTGGGGCCTAACTTTCTTTGAATCTACATATTCAGGTCCTAGTAACCACAGGTCGAATAAACACGTCACAGAAACCTAATTGTGAATTCGAAGAATATCAACTGGGAACTGCATTTAAGCAAGTCCTAGTTCAGTAACCATAAATGGAACGCACAGATATTTGAATTGCCACTTCTACGAAGTTGCAGACAGTTAGATATTGCTGTTCGTCAATTTCTCGATTTCCTGAAGGCCTTGGGGGCTGAAGTTAAAACTTTTGAAGAGCGTACTCCACGTGTCCATCAAAATGTGTCTTTGATGCACTTCAGTCGTTCAGGATATAGTTGCTTCAGTCGTTCAAGATTTAGTTGCTTCAGTCGGGTCAAAGATAGAGTTTTATGCTTGAGACGGGTGTTCCATATTCAGATGATAGCTGCCAAACCGATGTTGCCAAATTCTTCCCGGTCATGATCGGAAGACCGCTCAGAAAAACGTCTTGGAACAGGATCTACTCACAGAAAGAGGAACTTAATTAGGAGATCCCCTCGCAATGTGTTGCAGACACCAAGCTTCTTAGTAAAAATTGACACACTTCAACAGTAGTTCTGGAATAAATAGAAAAGAAAACTATTACTTGTAACGTTGGTTATGACGTTAGTATTTTTCTGAGGGATGAATGCCTTCAGCTGGTCTCCTCCAGCAGAGAGTAGAAATGACTTGATAAGCTGGCGCTGCTCCTTGGCACTTGCAGTTTTATGCAACGCAGTTTCAAAGGTAGACAAGCTGTCTGGTGAGATCGAAGGGAGAGCCAAAAGCACCTGTTGCACAATGTAAATGGACGCTTCTGATCCCAAGTCTAGAACATTAAAATGGAAGATTGAATTTTGGCTAGATCATGTTTCAAGAACGAATACGAGCGCTGTATACGCAGAATTTGAGCTTAAGTCAACCTCGCATTTGAGAACTATTGATAAATTGCATGAAATACACCAATACAAGACACGTTCCCGGCCAGCTCCAGGAAAAGGAACTCATTGATCAATAACAACACCAATTACGAGCACAGTGCAACACCCCTAGATCAGCCAATGTGCTACAAAACTGTCTTCTAAAATAACTGGCTACATATTAAAGCCCCAAGTTACAGGATAAAAAGCTATAAATGAGTTCACAGCTGATAATTGTACAGAATGTACCTGACGAGGTGTTGAGAGCCGAGAGCCAATTTGCAAGTAGATATCGCGGAGAAGCCCTACAAGTTCAGACTGAGCGGATGCGTTGCTCTCCAACATGAGCGCACGAATAGCAGAACTGAACATGTCCTTTGCAACCACCTCCTGCAACTGAGAATCGCCGGACAGGGTTGCCACATTTGTAACGGCTGCACAGAAAACAAAAGCCTTGTGAACAGACTCACTGTCTGGCCACTCCAAAGCATCGATCCCCACATGAAGAGCGGCTGTTGCGGCTTCCCTGAGCTGCAGTAGAAACCTATGACATCGACCAAGCTCCATTGAGTATTTTACAAGGGGTTTAGCATACTTTTCATAGAAATCACTCATCATCAATCATAGAACGGCTCCCAATTAAAAGGGGTTGAAATAAGTTGCAACATGAACATAAATTCTAAAACTCACTTCTGATAGGTGTGAAATCAGCATATCGACCGAATGCTACTCACCAAACTAAGTTATTCATTTTGTTCAACTGCTGCGTCCCTACGACCTCCATGCTTCCGCCATCCCCTTCGGATGCATCCTGTTGAGTCGCACGGTTGTGTGTTGGCGAAGCTGCAGTTGAGAGCAGTTGACAAGTCTCTCTCGTCAAATCCCTTAGAAGCTTCTCTTTCATCACCTCTGATTGTATTTGCTGCATAGAGCTTTGATTACTAACATCCGTGTTCAAAGACCAATTGCTAGGGATATTCAATGCCCCTTCTTTGATTAGGCTTGTCCAAGATATTGACAGCACACGATGGCAATGGATGAGAATTGGAGGCAAGAGCAACCTCAACCACGGATCCCAAAGATTAGCTGGGCATACTTTCACCACTGGAATCACAACCAGATGAAGGAGCTGACGAATGTGGTGAAGTTCCATATGTTCGATATTCTCAAGTAACGCAGTTGCCATAGCTGCAGGCCGACCATCGGTGTCCACAAAAAATCCTTCTCCAAGTCGGATTGCAGCAAGCCCCAAAATGTTGTACCTGTAAGCAAGTTCATTTAGAAGACCGCCATGTTTACTCAGCCGTAAGAGAAGAATATGACAGATCAGAGCTTACGACAATCAATTTCAAGAATTGCTTTACACGAAAACGAAATCCGTCTACTCGAGTATACATTAAGAACTCTGAATGATTAGAAGCCATACCCAGCATCACGTATGCCTTTTATCCACGTCCTAATTTCTTTCACTTTGTTGTGTTCAATGCTGCTTCCAGCATCAACCCCTTTGTCGGTCATTGAAGAGGCTCCAGCAGGTCCCCGAGTTGTCGCTAACTCCCCAAGGAGAGAGGCTTGCTCAGCTTCAGCCATAGTTAAAGCTCCTTGCACTTGTGGAGGTAAGCTTGATGCCACTGATGGGGACCACAATGCATGAATGCACCTCAGCAGCTGCATGGCCACCCAAGGAAAACACATAAATAAAATGGTTCGTTCCTAGTTCACATCTTGTACAGACGTTGAGCACAAACGCAAGTCATGCCTGACTATACACTAGTTGAACTTGCTTTCCGATCATTTCATTGAAATATGTTCAGTGTCCTGGACATGGCGCATGAACAACCTTACGTGAAAGTCTAAATCCATTCAAATACCCTTAGAAGCTTTCTGTTGTCCTTCAATCCAATAGGGCTTGAGGTTAATCATCTATAGAATTTTCTTTTTCATTACCTTCAAAAGAGGTGACACCATCCATGTCAAATGCTGGATCATCGCATGACTAGAGGCAGGCGTAACGGCACCATCCATGTCAACATTGTGAACAGTAGCTGATGAACCACTGTAGGTCTTTCCAGATGGGTTGGCACACCTCCGAAGAGCTCGCTCAAAAAAATTTACTGTGTGATAAATTGACCACATTTCCGCATGCGCATCATCATTGCTCGAATTTTCAGTAAAAAGCCGAACAAGACTCGCAGGGTTTGCCAAGTACTGATCTTGCCAGGCAGGTTGGATCCATTGCTGCTGCATAGGCCCAAATAACCAGCCTAAGACCTGTAACTGCTGCTCACCCCTGCCGCAATGATTGAAGTTAACACGGTCTTTAGAGTGAAAACAGAAAAATGTAGAAGCAAAATAATCCGTAACAACAAAGATGTCTAATATTACCAGGTTGCACGATTAGTGAAACTGAAAAATCGAGTGTGACACAACACAATATATTATAATAGAAGTGAAGAATGTACCCTGCGGCTGATCCAACAATCAATAATGACTCGCCTAAAAGATTCAGCTCTGATCGAACCATACGCCCTTCTCGGTGCAATGTGGTCATTGTCTCAGCTATGCCCTGCTCATTCCATAAATACAGGGTATAATGAAAAGCAAGACAAACTTAGAGGAAATTATTCAAACAAAGAAACTAGACGTTTGTTTCAATCAGCTTGCTGCTGAGCAGAAAACATACCTGCATGTATGGCAACATGGCTGCATCTCCTGCCCTCGCTAATCGCAGGAAAGAAGTACACACCTGCAGTCGAGCTCTCATAGTATCTTTCACAGTGTCTCCATATTCCTGTAGAGTGACAGATACTTTAGACAACATTTTGTACATCTCCATAGGCGACTATGCTGACATGGACTAACAACAAGGAAACAGGAGTAACTTATTGTTGTAGATCATGCACAAACAACAGACAACCTTGCAGGCAGAGAAGCACTTACCCTATACACAGGCAAAGATGTCAAGAGATCGAAAAACTTCCCCACCACAAGGGGAATGGCAGCTGAGGCATGCTTAAAGTAAGGGCTCATGGCATCGAAATGACGCGTATGAAGCTCAACTAATGCAGGTCCATTCCATTTCACTGACAACAGTAGTTGCAGAATATCTGGAAAGAACAAACCAACAACATTCATACGACTTAGGAAAACGATTTACCAAATGAAACAAAATATGAAGAACGACTAACGCAAAAAGTCGAACCACATGGCATGGCAACAAGCAACTGCAGGAAAATTTTACCCTCCAGAATGGTTCTAAGTTCGTTTGAGGATGCAGTGGTTGCCAAGGCAGCGGCCAATGTCTTCTCTTGAATTCCGTTCAGAATATTCTCAAGGTACGTTTGAGTAGTTTCAAGGGCCGTAATTTCCTACAGAACAAAACACAAAACGTTTTTAACTTCATAAAGATACAACTGTGCTCCTGACAAATACAAATAGTTCAGAACAGTAATCAATTCACTCAGTATATCAACATCTACTATATAACTGCCGATAGACTGGTGATCGTACAACGTGACTTTGCGCTACAACAAACGAGTGAATGTCAAACACAAACACGCAGACATACAACTTCAGCCATTACGAGTGTTGCCCCATAGAACCACTAGCCAACTTGAACTGCTAGGTTCTTAACCATACCTTACTAGAGACTGATTCGTAATTTGAACTACTAATAGTCATCTGGAGGCGCTCGGCAGCTTTGGAGGTTGCTAGACGTGGTTGTTGAGCTGCAACATGACGAACGAGCTCAACCTGCAATTTGTGCAGTGAGTAGGGATTGTGAGAATGTGAACTTAACTAGGGTTTCAATAGCTTGGAACTGAACCAATACTGCTGAATAGGAATCAAACTCAAATTCCCATGGCATTGGAGAAGATAAATAGAAATAGTAGACGATAATGGAAACAGCTTCAAGGCAAAGTCTCCTACAAGTCGACTCCGGAACTGCCTGAAGTCATTGGCACTTGAAAATTCTTGGATCCCACTCTCATCCTCAGCAGAGGTATCTCCACCATCTTTAATCAACAGGCGTTGGAATGCAACATCTAAGAGCACAGCACAAAAGTCGGGAGAGATATGAACTGCATGACTTCGTTTTTCCTTTTCTTTTTCAGTAAGTCCTTGTTGATCTGTGGTACTCATGGCTAGGGACGATTCCCGTAGCAAAGTCTGAATGAGAAACAATTGCTGTCATTTGAGTAAAACATTTTTTCACAACAGTTCGACAACCTCAGCACTAACCCCCATTTGCGAGGCATATGAATGATACCCCACTACAAAAGCTCATAAAAATAGTTCAGTTGAATCACTGCATTGAAATAGTAGTAAAATAAATTTCATGCACAAAGTCAAGGATTGTAACTTTCACACCCAATTCAACTATGACAAAAATCAGCACCTTGTAATCTTTATTCTCCTCCTTAGTACCAACAAACAACTCAAAATATGATAAATAAAATAAACAACTTTAACTCTGGAAGTCTGAGTACCGTCCATAAGGGTAAGGCAAGAGAATGTAAAGCAAGCTTAGGGTGTTGAAGGAAACAAAGCATCTGCACGCATAAACAATTAAATATAAGATATCAACGAACCAATCAAACAACGGGAACATAATGAAAACAGCTTTCAATGCTTCACAATTAATCACCTTACAGGACAGGGCTAGTATTCTGAGGAATGCCCGAAGATACATGATCAGCCCAACCAAACGAACAGATTAATAGATGTATACGTGAGCGCAGATGACCTGGTTAAGATAGTCAGTCACTTTAGGACTATTTCGAGCAACGCAGTGAAGATTCTGCAAGCCAAAAGCCACCATCGCTTCACACAGACATTCACCGAATTGATCAACATCTTCGTCCTCACCCTCACCAGATGCTGCACGTTTACTAAGCTCAGAGAAATAGGCTTTTGATACATTGCAAAGAGTGTCAAAAACACCCTCCATAGCAACATTGTAATTTCCCACTGACTCATCAAGTGGTCTACGCCTGCAATATGGACCGTATCAAAAGTTGGTTCCTGGGGTGTTCAGTTCAAAAATAAAAGAAACCGAAGAAAGACATAGAAAGAAAACATAGCCAATCACATATCGACCACTAAGCATCCATATCGAATTCAACGGTCATCATACCTTCCAGCCAGAAGCTTGAATACCTCGCAAGCACTTAGGCGGAATTCCGCAGCACTCAGTAAGAAGCCGCATCTGCAACCAACGTCAACACTCCAGGAGACTAAATGGTGATACAAAAATAGTCAACACTATCCATAATTCAATTAAAATGACCAAACCCTTCTGTCAATAAGCATTTTGTTAATCGATGAAAACTTTAACAGCATATTGTGGGCGAACGCTGAAGACAGTGTTCACATGTTTACGATGATAGCTGCAACACAAGGTACAGTGTACTGAAGGACAAGGTTGAAAGCAAAACTAACAAGTGGTTGTCTTACGCTTGAACAAGGCCATAGTTAGCGAGTGAAACCACAGGAGCCCACTCCGCATATGGAACTACAGCATTTAATGCTGCAGTCACGGCTGAGGCATGTTGTGTCACAGACACTATCTGATTCTGCTTCGCAGCTGCCATGGCTGCTCCAAAGTGATGATCTAACATCTGAAAGATATCACGGCTCTTTTGTGAAGAAGTTATACGAAATCTATAATCGAACGGGACAGGAGGATTACAGAAAATTAAAACGTAAAAAACTAACAAACACAACTTGAAGTACCAACTGGATTGAGAAGTTTGATAACCAAAAGTCGATAGATAATGACACTCAACATTAAAACGTTGCAACAAGTATACACTCATTGATTCACAGGAACTTTAATGCTACCAAGACTATATCAGCTTCATACTAAAAATTTGTGGCCAAATGTATCATAACGTAACTAGGTTTGGCAAAAACTTTCGGGTGCGATCACTACTGACCTTATAAAGAAATGGTAACGTTTCTGGCAATGTCTGAGAGAGACCCTGGAGCAATTGACTTCGGCGCTCTCCTGTAGTTAATGTAAGCAGGAGAACATTAGCATACATGAAGGGTAGGTCACGGAATGCTTCTTTCAACACTACACGCAAGGTAACAGACGTTGTTAAACATCTATTGAATGAAGCGCTTGAAAGAAGGGAACTCAGTAAAAATTGTCCCTTACTCACATCATCGGTCAGAATGCAGTTGAACTAAGACGTTCGCGAGGAACGTTCCTGGTAGTAAAAATAACTACTAGTTTAATTTAAAAGAACATGGTAGATGGCTACAACTATTTTCTTTCGCTTAGAGATTCCTCAAACACTGATGAGCCAGCAAACAAGTGAAAAGATTGCTTTGTACCATCCAAATCTTCATTATGGATGGTGACATCCTCGGGGAGCCAACGAAAAAATGTAGCAACCAATTCTGCCTGCCAAACTTTAAGTTAGATAGAATACTGCTCTCTCAACTGTGAAGGCAATTCTGTCTTGTTAAAGCAATATATACAAAATATGAACATAAATTAAATGTTTATAAACTCGGACGAAACCGCCAACAACGCAATTGAGAGACATTACATGAAGAGCACTGCTGCTGCCGAGGGTATAAAGCGCAGGAAGAATATCATTCCACAGTGACGGTCCCTCCCTTCGAGCTATCTGAGCAAAAAGTAAAAAAGCCTCTTAGCAACAGAACACCACCTCCGCCGTTCAAGGAAAGGAAAATTATATGTATTGCGCATTCTGTGTGAATGTTTCGTCTACGGGAACATACCAAACACCTAGTTGCGCAAAAGATTAGCTCGTTTAAGATTTTAACATATCTGAAAGGAATTCATAAGATCAACATTCAAAGTTCTCACAACCATGTTGGGGAAATTCAACGTCATCCAGAACTAGCAAAGTTTTGACGCAAGAAACGCATTGCATAACAAACTGTTCAATAAATAACTCACCTCAGCCATGAGAGCCGCAACTTGGCTCTTGAGGACCCACGGTTCATTAGGCTTAGCACTTTCTTCTAACAACTTCGCAGCCATTGCCGCCATTTGTCGTCTCTCGTCAGCGTTCAAATTCTCCCAACGCATCCGGACCATGTGCTGTGCAGACACGCTTAATAATACACTCTAAATAGCTAACCTTCGGGATATTGTGCACGAGTGTCGTAGATAGTGTACTCACTTCTTAAACAAGAGAACTCAGCATTGAAAGCAGACAAGCGTTTGCCATTTACCTGGAGCAACTTCAAACCGACGAGGCGGACTTCAGAAGACTGATCAGGCGTGACCAAAGCAAACGCAACAGTAGCCAACACATGAACTTCTCCTGCTTTCAACTGCACACCGCAACATGAGTAGAAATATGTTAGGCATCATTTACAATAATTAGCTTTTCAAAATACAGTCACAGGATACCGAATTGCCATGAAATTGGCAGATCTGTTTGTAAGATAGGTCGACTTCTACTCAAGACAAAATAAAAGAGGGGTCGAACATTAATTTCTACAACTTGCACCCTATATCAATCTCGTCCATAACACACATCCAAACATTAATGATCGATCTTGATGGTCGGGAAAAGAAACACCGCAATTTCTAGCATGATAAATATGACGAATGAACAAATATAGCCCTGTTCAATCTCTTGATATCTACAAATTTCCGAGGAAGTATGACATGCAAGCTAATGTACAAAATTACAGGATTAGCATCCATGGTGTTGCTTCAGAAAATTGAGAGTTATGAAACCTGTTGACACTTTCTGATTGAGATCCACTCACAAATCAAGAGGAAAATCCATAAATTATGTTTCAAATCAAAGTCATGCTCTCGGATTCTCCAATCACATAAAACTTGAATGTAAACATACAGCACTTCTTTACAATACGAAACCACCTGCGATCACACCCGGCTTCAACAACAAAATGAATGGTACAAACTATACAATTCCAAACTAATACTACCAGATCGAGCGGATGTGTTCCTTCCCGAACGCACTGTGAGCTTCTGGCGAACGACTAAAACATGAATTGAATTCTCGATGCAAAGATTCCGACCCTGCGCGAAAAGAAGATATCTCGACTGTTACAATGACTAGAAACCGACCAGATGACCTCCACTCCTGAAAGTTGCGAATATCTAAAACGTATCATAATCGATTGCAGTAAAACCACCACAATACACCACAGGAAACAGAAGCGACGTACGTAGAATACAATGCCGCCCTCCACCTCAAAATTTTCACACTCTAAGCTCACAATTCAGAGAACATCTCGACCACAAGAGCTGAAAGAATCGATAACCACCGGTATGCATTCATCAGAACAACAAGACCTAAAATCCCTGCATCGACGATATCCAATCGACAAGACCACGATTGAGAGACGCACCGATTCAAGGTAGGCGAGGGCCTGCTGCCTGGCTTCCGGGGAGGAGTTCCAATTCAAGGCGGCCAAAACGGCTTGCCCGGCCGTCTCCACCTGCAATGCAACCCCCTGATCCTCCATCGCATACGCTACAGTCTCAACCTTCACAACCTTACTTCACAACCTCACTACGCCACCTCTCCGATCATCTCCTTCTCGATCTTTCTCCAACCTCGTCCTCGCACCGAAATCTCGCGATACACTTCCACCGCACTCAAACAATCATTCCGATCTCAAGATCTCGCAGACTCTCACTCACGCACGCAACGGAGTTTCCAATTGATCCGTAGCAACAACGTACGCACCATACTTTATGGCAGCGACGATTCAATGCATTCATTAACGTCACAGACCTAAGTTAAGCTCAGGCCGGCTTTCCACTCCAACTCCAGCAGCCACCGTCGTCATCGAGACCCGGAGCCTCCATCCCCCCCCCCCCACCCTTCCCTTCGCTTTTTGACCATTCTCGGAAGCGCTAGGCTGGTCCGATGCGAAGAACTCTCGGTGACCGACAAACAGACGCGCCGGGCAGACAGTCGACGACGACGTGGATAACTCTGGCCTACCTCGTGGTTCGTTCCTCCCTTTCTAGTTTGAATTATATAACAATATAAGGGGGACTAGACGAGCTGGGATGGGGCACTGCAGATACACTTGGCTTAATCACAGTACAGAGTGCAGCAAATTTGCTTCTCATTGTCTTCTTTAGAATAAGGAGATTCAGATTTAAGGCTTTTGGGTGATATTTCACCCATAAAGTATCCTGTGATATTTTGAAATGTCACTTGATACTTCACCAAATCATTCACCTTGCAAGGTTGGTGATTTTGAAATCCAAATATCAAAAGTGGGGCAAATGAAATATAAAAAATTGAGTTGCTTGCCTTAACTTGCTTCCATTTTTTACTCCATACCACACCACTTTTTGACTTTTTCAAATCATCAATAATTAAGTGATACTTCATAAACTTGAAGATGATAATAAAGTTTAAATAGTGATATTTGAGGAGGTGATATATTTGAGTGATCCATAAAATTTGGATTTCCAAGAACCAAAAAAACTTGATATTTGGTTACCCAAAAACATTGTCTAAATCCCCTTAATATGAAGATTATAATATATCATGTCTTTTTTTGTTTTGTTAACTTTTTTTTTTTTTTTTTTTTTTGTTTTGTGTATATTTGAGAATTTGGGTTATAAATTTTGAAGCATATTAAGTTAGTTGTTTGGAGTAGTCAATGGATGTCATTACAAGTATTTGTTTGGATGATAATGGACTTCTTCAATAGTCAAATAGTTTCACTTGTGTATTCTTTGATAGTGGGTTTGTTCTGATTGTGCAGCAATCAATTTATTTGAGTTCTTTGGCAATAAAGTTCTTCAATTTTTTTTATTCTTTTTTAAAAATTGTGTCATTTACCATCTCTACTTACTTGATACTGAAGTCACTTCACTTCTTTAGCAATTATTTTTATTTTATTTTTATTTTTATTTTATTTTATTTTATTTTTTTGCAATTTTACAATTGATTTTCTATAGGTGTGGATCAACAGGCACATCCACCATGACTTGTTTGTTTCCAATACTTCTAATCTCATAGTATTTGTATTATTACAACAGCGAATTCTATCAAAAAATTACTTTGCATTTATTTCCACTATTTTGAACACTTATTGAACAAAAAATTTAAAGCCACATCTTTAATGGAACATAACATTGAATTGTCCATTTTAAAGTCTAATATTTAGTGTTTTTTTATTATGATATATTACTAGTAAATATTTAAAAATATAATATAAGTTTAGATACTCTAATACATATTTAATATAGACATTCAAAATATTTATAATATTAAGTTAAACACTTCAAATCTATTATTCATAGAATAAAAATAAAATAAAAACAAAAAGATAATTTAAAACAAATTATAGCAATATTCTTTGAAAGATTTGCAAATTAGAGCAATACAAAATTAGCAATTAGATTTAATAATATTTAATAGAAATTAAATTTGATTATAGTATATATATATATATATATATATATATATATATATTATAATAGAGTTGTCCATAATATCAAAAAATTACATAATTATTTTGAAATTGAAAATTATTAAAAAAAAAATGGTTTGATTTATTGCAAAGTATTCGATTTTATAAAATTTATGTTTATATAATACTATAATAAAATCATAATATAATTAGCAAAAAATATAAATTAATCACTGAAATCTTATGTATTTTTGTAATTTTGACTCAAAATAGTTTATTTGAGTACTACAAAAACAAATAATATCAATTTAAAGAATTATGTACTATATTAAACTATAATACTAAATTAATTTCTTGTATCCATATTGATTCCAAATTATTTATTTACTATAACAACCAATATTAAAAGTAATTAATATAAAAGACATAAAAATGGAAAGATTTATTTTTATAATTATTTATCTTAAGTGGCTTACAGTAATACAATTGCATCTGCTAATAAACCAATAGTTACTCTTTTGAAGAAGTTTAATGATTATAGATTAAGCTTTGAGGATTTATCAATCAAGTTGTACTTCTCATTGAAATTATAAATTATAGTAATTCAATCCAAACATCTTAGGTCAAGGTTATTAATATATTATTTATTAGACTTGTGGTTTAATTTTTAATTTTTAATTTTTTATACAAACATAATCTATATTAAATAACCAAAATACATTTCTAACTTAATAATCTTAACTTTTGAGACTTACTTTAATTAATAAATTATAATTCTTAATGGAGTAGATTTTTTTAAATTAAAAAAATAAAATTTTAAAATTTAAATTTAATTTTAAAAATTTAAATATCTATTTTTAGAATAATAATATTATTAAGCTACAAATAAATAATTTATTTTATCTTTTATATAGAAAATATTTTTATATTTAAATAGATATTTTAACATCCATATATATATATATATATATATATATATATATAGTTACATATAAATTGTCTTTAAAATTACACATTATCTTTAAGAAAGAATTTAGAATTTATTTTGACTAATTTATAACTTATTAGAGAGAAAAAATATTACATTAAAAATATATATTGATATGAGTTCTATAAAGAATCTAATTTGGTATATAAATCTCTTGTATATGTATTAATTTTTTTATTAAAAAAATATGGATTTCAATCAATGTATATAATTTATTATGAAATTATTTTTATTAATGAAGTTTGTTTAAGTATATTAATATTTCTTATTTATAATATTAAAAATAACCTTTATAATGACTACACCAAATTTGAATTTAAGTATAATCTTTTTTTATTAAAAAACACTTTTTTAGATTCCAAAGAATCAAAGGTAATTGCATATATTATAAGTATAACAATACTTACAAACAATAAGATATTCTTGATATATAAAAATACTAGAGCTAATCTCAAGAGATTTTTGTAGCATCACATATAGAAGAATGTAATCACATTTGTTTAATTGCATGAAACTTATTGTAGAATGAAGACACTTTATCATTGATTCTATAGACTTCTTCAATCTTTACCTATTTCAAAGAAATTTTGATCATTTGTTTTAATGGATTTTATTGAAGATCTTTTAGTCTCAAATATTAACAATACTATTTTTTGATGGTGGATTATTTGATCTTAATTTAATATTTTTAATATTTTTAATTTTTAATTTTTTAGTAATAAAAGACATAATAACTAAAATAGAAGAGTTTTATACAAAAATAAAGATACAACTAAGAGAGACTTAAGAGTAACAAAAAATTGATACAAAATTTCTTAAAAAAGAATAACTTCTATTCAAAGTTGGTGATAAGGTATAGTTACTCTATTATAATATTAAGACCAATTAATCTTTTAAAAAGATAATTTTATTAAAAATTTGGTGTGTTTATTATCCAAAAAAATATATTCTAATTTTATATTAATTTTAATTATTATTATCGATGAAGATTTATTATATACTCCAAATATCTCTTTTTGGATCATATACTATAATTAAAGTACTAAAAATAGTAATAACTACTATTCTTTAAAAAATAAATAACAACCAAGATTTTGAAGTAGAAGAAGTCTTATATTTATAATAATGAAAAAATATATTAGAATATCTTATATACTAATGGAGATATAATATTGATAAATACACATAAAATCCATCTAAGAATTCTATAAGTATGCCTAAGCTTAATACTATTTTTTATCAGTATAAAATCTATAAAAAAATAAAGACCATATTTTGACATCAAAATGGTATAATTTAGAAAGAAACAAAATTGATAATCAACTTATCAAATATTTTTTTTCCAATATAGAGAATTAATACTCAACAAATTTATCTTAAGGAGATATTATTTACAAAATTGTCAAATAAAAAAATTAAATTATCTTAATGTATATATGTTGCTTTTCTAATGTAACAGAGATCCTTAAGATATATGTGTTATTTTTTTAAATAAATAGGGAGATACAACATGTTTGATACTACAATTCTTGAAGACAATTCCAAATGCTTAGTAATAATATTAGAAGTTAGTAATATATTTAATAGAATGTAAAATATATTCTTTAAAGTAGTTAAAAAACTACTTATGAATATATATATTTATTCTAATAGTATCATAAATAATATAAATAAATAGAAGTAAATTAAAATAGATAAATTTTATAATATCTATCAAGGACAAGAACTCGATGAAAAAGTAATTCAGACAAGTGAGCCTTCACTCAAAGAAATGTAACAAAATATAAATAAACAAGTATGTATATTGAAAGAGAAACTGGAATGGCTATTGCCAAAAGACAAAGAAACTAGAGACCCTTGAAATTAGACTCGAAGCAAGAAAAGAGTTGACAAGAGTGAAGAAGGCTTCACTCTTGTTTCTATATATACTATCTAACTAGGGGCTACGTGGCGATGTTCTATAGGACCTCCAATGTGTGTTGACTTTGTAGGGCACATGCCTTAACTTACAAGGCAAATTTTTCTACATGTGGGCCACATAATTAGCTTGGTCTTCAAGCTAACAACATGTGTAGCATATGGCCAACTTGTTGACCACGTTTCTAATCCAAAAAGTCAATTAAAGACACCTATGAAGTCAAAGCAGCATCTATAAAGCTTCTAGGAAGCTTCCATATCAAATAATATAGAATTAACTTATTTTTACCTACTTTTACTTACTTCTACATATTTGTATATGTAATTATGAATATGTTCGTGATATTACCTCCCCTTCCAAAGACGAGTTCCATGAGGAGTGGTCATCATATGTTGAGAAAATCTATAATGCGATGAATTGTATTCACCACATATTCTGATCTTTGTTCTCTTCGAAGATGATTGATAGGACCTCTCAACCATTGGTAGTGTTCCATACCAGGGTGGGAAGACCACCCAGTTATTT